GACTGGAATAAATTTCTGGTTTTTGACTCCTTATGGAATGTTATGTATATCTTTCTTATATTGCTGATTTTTTTTTTAACTAGGCTTATAGCTGTTTGTTTCCATGTCTAAAGTCCCTCACAAGACTGGAAGGCCTATAATGTAATATCTACCTGTTATCGTCTCTTCTATACTGAATGCTCAATAAATACACAGATTAATTAATGCCCAACATTTTTAATTACCTCCTGAAAAAAAAAATCCATACAGTTAAGCATGCGCTTCTCACATTTCAGTACTCCAAAATGAAACTAGTTGTAAATAGGTGAAGTTTAAGTGAAATGTTTTCAAAAGCACTTTAATTCTAAAAATTCAAAATTAGCAATTGCCAGAAAATATTCATAGGATGAAGTTTTAAAGTGAAGTCAGGCCATATTGTTTCCAAATTAAGATGGGAACTTACTATTAAAAATCTTCCACAGATTGAAAATGACTAATCAACATTAGGAAAATGAAATTGGAAGATCCGCCCTCATACTGTTTATGGCTAAAAATGTTTTCATGTTATTTTTGACAGTGTTGTTCCAGTGTGAAAATTTCAATGATTAGAATGATTGGATTGAAAAAAATAAATAATTATCTAGTCTCTGCAAGATGATCTTGGGCCAATGCCTTGATTTCTGTCAATCTCCAACTCCAGAGAGGAGTCTGAGATGAGTCTTAAAGGATATCAAATTTGAGAGATGTGAAACTATAGCGCTATGTATTCTTTAGAAAGGTGGAACAGTATGTACAGTAAAGGAATTAAACGTGCATTATTTCCATGGGTCCTGATTGCTCTAACCACCTATGAGTCTATGATTTTAAAAATCATTTTTAAATTTCAAAATCAAATTGGAATGTGTAACCTGTCAGTAAGTCAGTCCTCATCAGTAACTGTTACAGATAATAGGTGGACATTTATACCAAACCATATACAAAATAATTATCTTTCTTGGAGACTTAATTAACAGGTTTGAATTAAAAGACTTAAAAAATTAGATTGGTAGAACACTGGTTGTTTTTAACTGTATTGGAAGAATCATTGTATAGGAACAGTGTTTACCTATGTATCTTCATATTAAGAAAGAGAAAACTTTTTGAAGAAACAGTTGTTTATATTTCAATGTGATTATATAATTTCAGTGGGTAAGTTTTAGGAGATGATGTAGAAAGGACATAGGATCTACATTTTACTATTAGCTTTGCCCCAACTAGCTACCAGGTAACCTCTCCAGGCCTTGGTTTCCTCATAAGTAAAAGGAGGGGGTGGAATAGTCTGTTATGTCCCTTTGACCTGTGAAATATGGTGTCTGTGTCTGTCCATATTTGAAGAACATAGGGGATAAAATGACATTTAGTTGCATTTGATTAAAAAGAACTAGCCTATTAGTTTTCTTATTTCAAATGTAAAGGAGAGTGATCAGCAAATAAAAACATGGTGCAAAAGAGTTAAATAATAAAATTAATAACATCATTAATTAATGAATCAATTGGCAATATTAGGAATACATTGATGTTAAATGACTCTAAAAATCTTGGACATCTCGAGCTGAATTATAACTACTTTATATGGTCCTGTGGTAATGAGTCTTATATTTTGAAGAATGTTTCTAGACTCAAATGCACAAATGAAAATTGTTACCTTTAACATAGTTACCGTGGGAGACTGAGCTCCTTTATTTATATCACATTACTTAGCACCTACTGTTTTGCACTGATGCTGCCATATTAAGTTGGAGGTAAAGTTGGGGGATTGTAGAAATCAGGAATCATTTTCCTCAAATGCTGGTTTGTAATTTTTTTTACTTTAATTCACTTTCATTTTGATTCTGAACCCCAATCATGTCTTACATTTTTTGTTCTTTCTTTCACTTTTGCCTTTTCTTCTTCTTTCACTCTTCAGAAAGAACAGAGAATTTAGTGTTGGCGAGACCTAGTTTAGAGTTCACTTCCCCTCACTTACTAGTAATAGGATCTTAATCAAGTCACATTTTCTCTCTGCACCCAAGTTTTCCCTTTTTTTTTTTTTTTTTTGTAAAAATGGATATAATGCCAGTTGTCTAATTCCCTCATGGAGCATTTTTTAGTGGAGTAGGAAAACATCGATGCTCGGTAAACCATAAAGCAGTATGCAGATATAGACTTTATGACTTAATAAGACAGAGAGGTGTGTGAAAGAACACAGGTTTTAAGCCCAGATTCATCTTTATTCAATTCCTGCATTTGCCACTTACTAGTTTAGTGCAGTCTTAGTTTGTGAAATGTATATATAACATCTAATGGCATCTCCTTCGTGATTGTAATGATGACATAAGGTAATCTTTATAAATCTCTGTGAGATAAACGGGGGTACCTTTTATTCCCATTTATTCTTAGATGAAACAATTGAGACTTAAAGAATTCAAGTGTTTTGTTTAGGGTTATACAGGTTGTCAGTTAAATAACCAGAATAAACTTAGTATTACAATGTGAGTTTTGTTTTATGGATAAATTATATCAGGTAATTTCAAAGAAAGAGTTCCATGTATGTTTGGAGCACAAAATATACATTTGGAATATATGTATAGATGAGATCCATAGAAGGGTTACTTTGAAACATTCAGATTTGTTTGTTCTTGTGCATTTCTTTGTTAACCACAAAAATTGACCAGTTGCTTTTTTTATTTGCAACTCATACAGATTGTAAACTGTGGTCTTATGTTAGTGACCTAGAGGAAGGCGAAAACTAATTGGCTCCCTTTTTAATTGTAGTGCTGGTTGGCTCATGAGGCCTAGATGTCACTATTACATGTGATGAACAATGAATACTAGAATTGTAAAAATGAGAGTTGATGGCTCCAATCACGTATTAACTCAGGACATATGGTGGGTTTTACCTCTAGTTTCACAAATTCCATTTGTCTGCTGCTTTTTGCTTTCTGTGTTACACTTAACTAGTAGTAACAGATTTTTTTTCCCCCTGTGGAAACTTTCTTGATTGTCAGTACATCTACAAGGACATAATCATGATATATTAAAAATAATCATGTAAATTATAATCACATTTTTCAGAATATTGCTAATGATGATGATTTTTCTTTAAATACTGATTGGGACTTTCTTGTCTTGGAATAAGGGTAATCATATCTAAATTGTTTTATTTAATCTACTTTTAGTTTAAATCCAGAGTTATAGCAAGGCTTGGTATTAATACCATGACAAGGAAGTAGTTTATGATTTTGCCTGGGAAAAAATTCTTCGGTTAAATTATGTTGAACTTCTTAAAATTTTTAAATTGATGTGATGTATAGTGGAAGATTTTACCAATTCATAGATGTATAAAATAAGTTACTGGCAAAGGAAATTATTTCATCTTGAGATTTAAGTGTTTCTAAAAATAAAAAGATATTGTTTAAAATGGTGAAAAATATATTTAGCCATGCCTTTTATGGTGACAGCGATAGAAGTACAAAGTTAAGTCACACTAAAACATTTGTGTTAAAAAGCAGTGCTTGTACATTTTTACCACATTTACATCTTTTTCTATTTTATGTCCATCCTCTAATTTTGATCAGAAGATTTCTTCCATGTTATTCTTTTAATAGCAGGCTAACTTTTATGAGGACATGATCAGAGGATGGGACTCAGCATGGTAGATAGGAGCCAAAAAATCAAAGCATAATTGCGTGCCCAGTTTCCGATCACTGTCTCTGAAATAAGTGGAAACATTCAGAGCAGGGAAATATATTCAAATCTATGACAGGAATTTCCCTTCTTATGTACTATGCACATGAACTTTAAGAAAATTGTATGTTTATGTATTTTTAAATCTAGCCAATAGACTTATGTTATTCGTCATTGTAGTCAATATTATTAGAGTAATTGTTTTTATTTTCATAACACCAATGAAGTTTGCTGAAAGGTCCCATTAAAGTAAGAGCATAACTTGAAGGGAATATGTGGAGAATGTCCTGAGTTGCAAACTAGTCACAATCAACTAACTAGTACACACATGTATTTCTTATAATCCAGGTCTGATTTCTTGCTCAGCTGTGACATGACTTTTCTCTTTGGAGTGTGGCCAAATAGCCAAGAAATAGATTCAGATTCAATTAACCATACTGTATATCTGGAATGAGCCAAGTATTGAGTGATATGTACTCAAGTACATCCTATCCTGTTGTCCTGGCAAAATTATTACTGGCAAATGTTTCACTCTTAAAAGTATTTTGATTTACACAAGAAATGATATGTTACCTTACCAATTAGGCAGGTGGTGATAGTATCTTCTTTTCTTCTTCATTTTCTTTTTAAATGCTAAAGACACTGGAATTTTGCAGCTTTAAGTAACGATCCCAAAGACATAAATACTTCATGTCAAACCTAGAATTTACCCTACGTGTTTTGACTTGAAAAGCTTTTTTTTTTCTTCTCAGTTCATATTTGTTATTTTGTTATTACAGATATAATCTGTAAGTTTGTCAGTTTTCAAGATTTTATCTGATTTGTCCTGTGCCTATTTATTATTATGGATGTTTATTCTCTCTATCTCTCTGTCTTTTCTCTTCTTGAGTATCATTTTCATAGAAAGCATTAAGAGAAATTGAGATAAAATGAGTCACACTAATTGTAAGCCATCTCCAAATGAGAAACTATTGAAAATGTTATTACCAGCTGGATGCTGGAAAGTATTAAAGAGCTGGGGGCACAACAGTGTGACCAGTTTGACCTTATAGAGAGAAATATAAATTTGTCTTGAATTAGCCAGTCTGTGTCAGAGGTTATTTTACTGATAGTCTGATCAGTTCTTTTAGACTGATCACTTATAATTGAGCCAGATCTCACATATAACAAATTCAACCATAGGCAAAACCATTGTAATTATTTTCCTATTTACTGTCAACTCTGAAAATCATTGTGTGCTTCTAGAAATTGAGATAGTTGTCAAGAATAAGTTTTGTTTATGCTAAGTTGTAATTTTCTTTTTCTGTGTTTGCTAGATTTTTCTAGATATGACATTTGGTTCGGGAGGGCACACAAAAGCCATTCTACAGAAGGAGTCAGATATTGTTTTGTATGCCTTGGACAGAGACCCGACAGCTTATGCATTAGCTGAACATCTTTCAGAGTTGTATCCGTAAGTAATACCGTTGCATATTTATTTGATTTTCGTTCTTAGTTTTACAGAGCTTGGCTTACCACTTTGGAGTTTGTTCTGCTTTGCATGGGCTATATTTTACTCCATTAAATATTTTCTCAATTTTTTTCCCCAAAAATAATTAATGTAAGTGATATTTTTAGTGCCACTTAAAGTAATGCTATTTTTCAGTTATCCTTTCTGAATCCATAAAAAGAAATACAAAAATGTCTTCCACTTACAAGACTGAAAATGTTTTGGAATCCATCCACAAATAATATTTTGACAATAACTCATAGTCAAAAAATAATTTTTAAACATTTTTATGAGTTTATTTCTAAGAATTTAGCAGAGTAAATAAGTATGTGAGAATTCTGTAGAACTCATGGGGACATATACATCAACATAATATACTTGTTTGCTTTGAATTTTCCGAAATTCACAAATAAATCTAGAGTGATCCACCCTTCTATCAGAAAAAGTGATGTATAACTAAAGAACTTTTTAAAAATATAAAATATTACATGAATGAGTGGTCAAACCATCTGCCTTTAAAGAAACATTTTGAATTAGGGAGTAGAGTTTACATGATTTGTTGTTTAAAGCCATCATTTTAAAAGAGAAAAATATCTTGGAGCTAAGATGGGTCTCTCCAAATACATAAAGGACTGTTTTCAGGAATGGGAAATTGTTTTATTCTGTCATTCATCAGAGACTGGAGTCAAGAAAATAGATGGGAATTTGAGAGGTAATTTTGAGTTGATGTGAACTATAGTTCCCATCAAAAGTTGAAGTTTTGACTTGATGTGGACTAGAGTTTTTACTAGTTGTAGCTATTCAACAGCAAAATGGTCTCTTTGGTGAAGTTCCAAAAATATGACCATGGAAAAGTTTAATTAGACACTAAGAATAGAAAGTTTAATCCGTTATCTAGAATAGTATTTACAGTTTCTTTCTGGTCCCAAACTCTTTGCAAATCTAATGAATGTGATTAACTCTCCCCATAAAACTATATATAAATACACATAAGCTTTTGTTTGCAAGATCACAGAATTTATGGAGTCCCTGAAGCCTACCATTTGACCCCAGATTATTTCATTTCTTCCAAGAATAATATGAAGATGTGGTTTAATTACATGGTACTAATTTTTAATATTTTAAATCTATCTGTCTTCTGCAGTGTAACTTAGATGCACCTTCTTTAATAAGATGTTTTATTAGAGCATTCATATTTGTGAAACATTGTATGAGTTCACTTGGTTATGATGTGAACATGCATGAAGTATAGACCTCTTTTATACAGCAGTCCCTTTGTACTTGTGGAGAAGTGGATACCAAAATCCATGGATGCTCAATTCCCTTATATAAAATGGTGCAGTATTTGCATATAACCTACACACATCCTCCCATATACTTCAAATCATCTCTAAGTTACTTACCTAATACAAAGTAAATACTGTTTAAACAGTTGTTATGCTTTATTGTTTAGGGAATAATGACAAGGAAAAAAGTTTTGTACATGTTCAGTACAGATGCACCTATCTTTTTTTATGATCTGCAGTTAGTTGAATCAATTGATGTGGAATCCACAGATAAAGAGGGCCAGTCATATTTTACTGTCATAGAAAAACTGAATTTTCCTAAGATATTGTTGTTTCTTAAGGCAATGATTCCCAATCCAGTGATTTCAATGGCTCTTATTCCTTTAAACACTCCACTTTCTCAAATGTAGCTTAAAGTTTATAAATTTTACCATGTGTAATTTTTTTTAACCTAACAGGAACTATCAGGCTGTATATTCTTTTTAGTTTATAGATGTGGAAACTATTAGCCAGAGAGATGAAGGGATTTGCTAGAAGGCATAAGTGACTTTATGGGGACAGACCTGGGACATGTATTCTAATCCCTAGCCTCACAATCTCATTTTATTAAATATTACTGCTTTGGCTCAAATCTTGAGACTTTTTTTACTTCATTGACAAAATGATTTCTTTGTCAAACAAAATAAATTAGATAAGAAAAAGGAAGCAGATCAGAGTAAGCTGTGAAGAAGGAATTAATACAGATAAAAGCTAGAATCAAGGAAACTATAAACAAAAAAAAAAAGAAAAAAATTGAAAGGATAAAGAAATCACAAGAGATCAGTCTTTGAAAATAGCAAAATCACTTTTGATCCTGATTTCTAGAGCTAAAACGTGTGATTAAGATTGAGAAGGAAGCGGTGAAACCCCGTCTCTACTAAAAAATACAAAAAATTAGCCGGGCAAGGTGGCGGGCGCCTGTAGTCCCAGCTACTCGGGAGGCTGAGGCAGGAGAATGGCGTGAACCCGGGAGGCGGAGCTTGCAGTGAGCTGAGATCCGGCCATTGCACTCCAGCCTGGGCGGCAGAGCGAGACTCTGTCTCAAAAAAAAAAAAAAAAAAAAAGATTGAGAAGGAAGACCAACCATAGACACAAGATAAGTTCATCATAAGATAATAAAACTGCAACTCTCTGGTAACTTGCAAAACCTAGATGAAATGAATGATATCCTAACAAAATATAAATTATTAAAACTTGATTAATAGTTATAAAATTTGAATGTCATCACCATAATAGAAATCAGAAGGTAGCTGAAGTATATAGAAAAAAAACACCCTGACCAAATGGATTTGCAGTTATTTAATTCTTAAAAAAAAAAAAAAAAAAGAGGAAATAGCAATGCCTTTTACCCTAATCCTGACCATGGTAAATTTGGAAAATTATTCCCGTTAATATTATGAATCTAGCATAATTTTAATACCCATCTTTTTTTTTTTTTTATTGGAGACAAGTTTTCACTGTTTTGCCCAGGCTGGAGTGCAGCGATGCCATCATAGCTTACTGCAGCCTCTGCTTCCTGACCCTTCTGCCTCAGCCTCTCAAGTAGCTGAGACTACAGGCATGCACTTGTCTAATTTTTTATTTTTAGTAGAGATGAGGTCTCCCTATGTTGCTCAGGCTGGTCTTAAACTCCTGAGCTCAAGTGATCATCCCACCTCGGCCTCCCAAAGGACTGGGATTATAGGCATGAGCCACCATGCCTGGCCTAATACCAAATCTTGATCGAGATAGTATAAAAAGGAAAAATGTCTAAGTTTGCTGAAGTATAGAAATATAAAAATTGGAAAGGAAATACTAGTATGTCTAATTCACCTTTCATTTAATTAAAATAGTAATACTTATGGCCTAATGAAGTTTATTTCATGAAGATGGAATGTTCCATGTCAGGTAGTTAATCAATGATAGATTGATAAGCATGACAATAATCAACTAGCTATTCTTATTAAAATTTCATTTAAGGAAACTACTTAAATGTAAAATATTCTCAATCAAGGACAAGCAGTATTTTCCTAAAATGTGAAGTACTATAACTATTTAAGACAAAATTAGGATGTAAATAGGATTTAACTTCTATAAATAATATTTCTCAATATTTTTTCAAGATCTGACAAAGTCTAATTAGAATATTCTTCTTATAATGATTTACTGAATAGTTAAAAACCCCAAATACTTATAAAATTAATAAGATGATGTTTAGCTAAAAATTTAAAACTCTATTCAGAATAGAAGAACTCTAGGGACAACAAGAAAGTCAGCCATTTCCTTTCTATTATAAGGGTCACAGCTGATACCCTTATAACAAAGAGAGGTTGACAAGAGAAAAGAATAACAAATTTATTTGATCATAGTTTTACATGGCACAAGGTCCTTCAGAAAGAAGATGCAAAGATATAGCGAGAACTATCCATTTTTTATGTTTAAATTCAATAAAGTATGGAGAGCATGTAGAGCTATGATTGGACAAAAAGGATATATGGTCTAACACTAACTGGCTGAGTTGGGGGAATTCAATAAGGTCTCTCTATGCATCATTCCTTTCTCCTGGGTATGAAGGTAGGACTCCTGTGGAATGAGGGTCTTAATTTCTTTAGGGTCATCTATTCTGTTACACAGAAAGAAGTAGGGGAAGTTAGAGTAGTATTTTAGGCTTTGAAGCTGGCTTTGGAGAAAAAAGGTTCTGGTTTCTATGGGGGAGGTTAGAATAATATTTTGTGCTTTAAATCTGGCTTTGGAGGAAAGGGATTCTGGTTTCTATGACCCACGTTGGGGAAGAGGGATTCTAGTGTGGCTTGTCTCTAAGGAAAATGAGAGACAGGAGGGAAAGAGGTGGTCAGAAGGTAACTTTGCTTCTGAGGCTGCTTCTTAGGCTTTCACTTGGGGCTATTGCTTTCTGAGCCCCAGCAGTACCTAGAAAGGGAAATGGGAAAAAATATTCTATTCACAAAAGCACCTAAAATTATATAAAATATTTAGTAATAAATTTAACAAAAAGCACACTTCCAAGTGGGAAAACTATAATTTTTTGAAGGGCATACAAGAACATTTGAACAAAAGGGAAGACATATTTGAGGTAGAGAGAATTAATATTATAAAAAGAGGATGGAGTGAAGAGGATCATGCCTGCAACCCCACCACTTTGTGAGGCCAAAGCCAGAGGATCTCTTGAGCCCAGGAGTTAAGAGACCAGTCCTGGCAACATAGTGAGACACTGTTTCTTACAGAGAAATGGTGGTGCGCACCTGTAGTCCCAGGTACTCAGGAGGCTGTGGTGGGACTCAGGAGGTTGAGATTGCAGTGGGCCCTAGTCATGCCATTGCACTCCAACCTTGGTGACAGAGCAAGATCCTGTCTCAAGATGGATGGATGGATGCATGAATGCATGGATGGATAGACAGATCAGAAAGAATACAAATAAAAAGAGCTAATACTCCCAAAATTCATATATACATGTATTGTACATGTAAATTACTTTGTTCATTAAATTTGGATGATGTGATCCTTAGTTTATATGGGGCAAAAAGTGACAAGATTTTTTTAAATTAAAAAGTAAGAGGAAACCTGCCTTACTAGATGTAAGATTACACGATAAAATCACTGTAATGAATCAATACAATATTGATACAAGAATAGGCAAGTGGA